GGCTCGGGGGACGGGGGCTCCGGGACCTCGCCTCTGGCTCTGGCCTCTTCCCGCCGGGCGTCCCGCTTCAGCTTGCCCACTGCCCGGATCAGTTCTGGGTCTGAAGTATGCTCGACCAGATCAAATCGGGGGCCCTGAAGAGCGGCGAAGACCGGCAATGTGGCTTTCACCCCCTCGTTGTAGCCAATGACGAAGGAGCTGTCCCCAACATCATATAAGAATTTCTCAGCTAGGGGCGCACTCTCCAGGATTCGGACCCCGAACTTGAGGCGGTCCTTCGGCGCCTGTTTCTGCAACTCGGCGGCGAATACATCGCCAAAAGCGCCCCCAAGGTACTTCTGGGCGGCAATCATGAAGGCCCCAGAGTTGTGATACCCGGTCTCATCGACGAGCCATTCAGGGGCCTCGTCCTTGGGAGCAGGGAGAGCTGGGACGAGCTTGAACCCGGCCTTCTCCAGAACCGCGAGCTTCGCGGAGGACTCGCGGGCTACCTTCAGGGCGGCCTGCAGCTCTTTGTCCTTGGCCGCCAGCTCTTTCTCCTGGAGACGAGCGGCCTCCCTCGCCTTCTTCAAGGCCGCGTCTGCCTTATTTTTTGCCTGAAGGGCATCGGCATCCCGAGCAGCCTCAGCCTGCAGGGTGGAGAGCCCAACCTACAAAAGAGATACATAGGATGAGACTTCAAATCAACGGAATATGGAAATCTACCGTTCGTTTAGGGGCCAGACTCACCTGAAGAGCGGCGGCCAGAACCGCATTGGAGGCCTCTGAAGACGTCCGGGGGGGGCATTTCCACGCCAACCAGAGAGGCAATTTCCTGCCAGACGTCATGGGCCGGACGCCCAAGGGAAGGGAGCATCAGCCCTTGCTCTTCGGGGGCCGAAGAGGAAGCCCCCCGAGGCCTTTTGGACTTCTTGTCCCTCGCCTTCTCCCCTTCATGCGGATGAACGGCCTGTAGGGGCGCCACGGCTTCGGGAACGACAGGGCTGAGGATGGGGGCCTGGGACCCCTGTGCCATCACCGTGGCAATGAGATGCTGCTCCGCCTCCACCGTGCGACGATCGGCCTGGGAGGCGGAGGAGTGAGAGTCTGCTGTTTGGGCGGCCTTGGCTTTGGCGAGGGCAGCATCGGCGGCAGCACCTTTGCCCTTCCTCGTCTTGAGGAGCTTCTCGTGATTCATCTGCTCCTGGGTTGGGGGAAGACCTGAAAGAAACAAAAGAATGGGTTAGATGGACGAGCGTCAGTAAGAACTCACCTCGGAGGAGAGGACCGCCCAATACCCCGAGACGAGCGTAGAAGGGGAGATGTCCAAGAACATGGGCGGTACCTATTCCTGCCGCGGCAAGTGCTTCGAAAGAGAGGAAGTCATCCAAGGGCCGGACGCCGCCCGTCGAAATCTTCCTGATATCTTCCGCCAGATCGTCGGTCAGTTCCGGGGACCCTATCTTGGGCGGGTAGCCATTCCACCGCAATGGCAGACGAGCATCCGCATAACGCACGAAGAAGAACCGATTCTTCCAATCATGGATGGAACTCGGTGCCCCGCTGAACAACCTCCGTTTTGGACGGGCTGCAATGCTCAGGAACCCGTCGGAATTCTGGGGGGTGAGCCGGTAGAAGTAGTGGAACAAGTCCAGGGTGGCGGTGACCCCGTGGTCCTTGCAACGGACTAAGAAGGCGGAGAGCCACCGGTAGGAATTCGGCATAAGTTGTGCGGGGGCTATCTGGTAACAACAGAAGAATTCCACGAAGAACGGATGAAGAGGGAAGCGCAGCCCAGCCTCGATGGAATCCAGAAGCACCATAATCATCCCGGGGGGTCTCCTCATCACGTGGGTTGCACCGCGTAGGCTGTATACGGACGGAGGGGGGAAGAACACCTTCAGTTTGTTGAGGGCCACCGGCGAGAAGATCTGCTCATGGCACAAGACATTCTTGATCGGGCACAGATGCCTCTCCACATCTATCTTCAGCCCAAGTTCGAATACTTCGACGTCGGAGCCGTCCTGAGCCTCAACCCCAGAGTCATACCCGTCTGGACGCTCGTCCTCACCAGCGGGCTCCTGTTCCCCGGCATCAGCCACGGGGTCCACTACATCAAGGGCCATATTCCCTTGCTCCCCCAGATCAGCACCTTCTTCGCCAGAGACCGTCACCTCAACCACATTTTGGGCCTCCCCGGCCTGAACAGTTCCCACGGTAGGGACTGAACCAGAACTCCCGGATGTGCTAGTTTCGCCCGAGGAGCGTGAACCGGAGTCAGAAGTGGAGCCCGAGGAGGAACCCGATGAACCCGAGCCAGAACTTGATGAGATCTCCATCGAAACCATCGCGGAGAGAATTCAAAGGCAAGGAAAAAAAGCAGAGGATGGAAATTACCTTAGAAAGGGGTTAGCCGAGCTTGAAAGCGGGAGAAGACTTGAAGAGCTGCGAGGACGCGAGAGCAGGAGAGCAGAAATTGGGAACCCTAATTTAGAGGGAGAACCCGGCATTTATAGGAGAGACACCGATGGGGGGACCAACGAGAGACGGACACGCGGCAAAGAGCGTATTCCGGCTCACGCGCTGTGCGTGGGACGAAAGCGTGATGATGACATTTCCTCGGAAAATGCACCGCCGCTACAGCAGCCGTCACCTCGTTTCCTGAACCGTCGACAGCTGTTGAGCACCATGACCACGAACGTACGCTTCCGCCAGATGCAAGTATCAAGACATGAACGTCTATTTCGGGGTACCTATACTTCCTTATGTCCTGCGCATACTCAGAACATCAGAAGTGGGGGACTTGTGTTGGGATAATGGCCCAGGCCGAGGCCCGGCCCAAGGCCCGGCCCATTAACCCCCTTTTTTCTATCGGACGCACGTCATGACTAGGATCAGGCTGGGCGCAGGCCCACGACCCTTGGGAAGAGACGAACGTCGGAAATGGGGGGGTCCAGGTTCAACGGCCCATCGCGACGGACGTCTGTGCAGAGGTAAGGGGCAGGACCACTGGCCATCTGGGGTACGACGAACGTCTCCGGAGAAGGCCCATGATCGTCGGAAGAGATCCAGTCCACATGAGAGAATCCACAAGGTCAGGGGACAAACAGCCGAAGTCCCTTGAGGGTCACTTGGAGTGACCCAGCTCACCCCCTGGCGGACGAACGTCCCCATTATTTAGGCGGGAAGCCTAGATTCTGGCGGGAAGTGCATTTAATGCAGAAGATTTGGTGGTTGGGACACAAGCGGTCCGCAGGCCTCCACGTCAGCATAGCCACCTGCCCATTGACGGGTATAAATAGAAGCATTTATTTCATTGTAAGGGGTTGGCAACTTTCTATTCTTAGCACTAGCTATAGCATCCTTACTCGCAGCACTTCTACTGCCTTGTAAGACGAACGGCCGACGGAGCCCTTAGCAAGAAGTATTGTATTAGGGAGTTATTAAGAGATAATAATACCTAATCATTTACTTGCTACTTCTTGTTCTCTATAGTTCATATCATTTGCTTGTTGGGTTAGATATCATACGCTCACTCCACTCGAAATCTTTGGGCTTACGTGTTGGGTCCAAGGGTTGAAGGAATAAACCTCAACAACTATGTATATTTTGGACACATACGGTTAATTTGTTAATAAATCATTTTTCTCATGCACCTTATCATTGTTATGTACATCAAATTTTAAATAATTTTAATTTTTTTTCGTAAACAATGATATTAATACAATTGAACTTTTTCGAGACAGTTTAAAAAAAATGATGTCAATTTGGCTTTAAACCATCAACTTCATCCTCTCTTTAGGCGAGAGCTTCTCTCTCTAGGCGGTCATCTCCTCTAGGGTTGTGTGTTTTTTTTTCTCCGCTTCGGTCTTTGACGAAGTGTGAGTTTCTTGTGCGCCTTTCGTCCGCCTTGCATAGGCTCTCTTTTTCGGCAGATCGCATCGCCTAAGTGGCGGCCAAAGGTTGTATACCCCTAGCAACAGGTGGAGAGTTTCGAGGATGTCCTTCATGGTTGAGATCATGAGGTCTGCTTTAACCGTCGTTGGCTCATTTATGCCTATTATAGGATCAGCGAGTTATATTGCTTTTTTGAAGGTGATAAAGTCTGATTCGAGGGTTGGCGGGTCCGTGGTCCTTTTGTCATTTTACCTCCTATCTGAATGTTGTGATATGAATTTAAGCAATCTATTTTGACGATAAAAAAACTTATATTTTCTTCCAAATAATCCCCTCACTAATCCCTCAGCCTCAATACTAATCTTTGATTCTTTAAAATAATCTAGGGATCCCAATAATCTAATAAACCATCTATATGATCTTCAAATAAACTAAACATTTATGTCCTTTAGTTATTTTATTGCACTACAATTTTCAATTCTGGCCTAATTTGATCGTTTATGTTTGATCAATTTAAATTTATCTGATATCGTCAGATATATGTTGGTGTAAGTCATATACTATCGTATATCATACTCCCTCTGTCCCTGAATTTACTTCCAACTTTCCCTTTTCGTCCGTCCCAAAAAGAACTCCACTTTCCCTTTTTGGCAAAGAATTTGTGGTTCACAGCATTTCTCTCTCCTCTGCACAACTCTCCACCACACAATTCTCACTTTCTTAATCACCGTGCCACTTTAATTTGGAAGAACAATCAGGGACGGAGAGAGTATAAAAATATAGTTTTCGATCATAGCATTTTTAGTGTAGTAATTAACTAATCAACTTTCATGTCTAACACGTCACACTTGACTTGTGTGATGAGTAGATAGAGACTCATCATTCAATGGAAACGGACGCTTTATAGCCCCGTTAAGCAGCAACGGGCGCGGTATCGGGCACAGCCCAAATGAGCTTGAGTCCAACGTCAGGGCCCACCAAGCCCGTAAATCCTGCGGGCATACGGCACTAAAGTTAGATAAAACGGAGCCGTTACATCTGAGGTGGTGGGTCCCGACAAGGCGATCGAAATCTGCCGTCCGATCTTCCCCACTTTTGTCCTTTCTGGTTTTCCGCTATAAATCGCCGCCGAAGCCCCTCCGCTTCTCTCTCCTCATATTTTGAGTCTCCTCTCTCTAAAAGCTCTCACCTGAAACGCTAACGAAGATGTGTGGAGGTGCAATCATCTCCGATTTCGACCCCGTCACCGAGCGCCGCCGCCGGAAAGTCTCTGCACAGGACCTCTGGGCCGAGCTAGATCCGATCTCCCAGTTCTGGGCCGCCAATACTTCCGTCAGAAAATCCCCTCTTCCCGACGATGATATCAAGCCTAACCGTTCCTCCTCCCAGCTCACCCACCCAAATCAAGGTAACAACATTTCTGTTTTTCTCATTAAACTTCAATGAATTGATTAACATACACTAAATGACGTCTTAATCTAGTAAGAAAAGTTTAACGAATTATATCTGTCCTAACTCATAAGAAGAGGTTGCCGTTCTTGCGATACACATTTATATTCGAATAAAGTAATCTTTTTTTTGTAAAAAAACTTTGTCACTAAAGAATATCCGGCACGTCCTAAAATCAACTCCCAATAACCAAGTTTGACTGGTAGTTAAAATAAGAAAATAAATCTTGTAGGAGTACAGTATTAATCACAATTTGTCACTTGAAAATGGAACTGGCCAAGTTCTTTGGACAGCTAACTTCGTTCTCAAGTGTATTGAGGGTTTAACTTATTTTTTATGGGAAAAACAATTTTTATTAACATACTAGGCTACTAACACAATGACTTAAGATTTGTACTAAAAAGTAAACCATTCTTAATTTTCTTGTTTTGATATAGAATCGATCACTTTAATAAACAGCAACATGAACACAAACTTTTCATTAAATTGAAGTTATCACTAGTCATATTTGCAATCATACTTTTAGACATAAGAACCAATGAAATGAAAACCTAATTTGAGATTTTCTGCCATTCATCTATGACAAGAACGCGTTTTCAGCATTGTGTAGACACAGGACTCATACTTTCTGATGATTTGCAATCACCACATTTTTTTCATGTGTTGTATCTTATTTTACAAACATGACTATCAACCCATCCTAACATACAAATGGTCGTGGGAGGGGGCTAGTCACCTGGCCCTACAATAGAGGACTTGAAAAGTGTGATGACAACCATCAGAAGCAACACAATATGACCGGTACCTTGAGAAGAGCGATATGTTCAAAATTCATCAAAATCCTAAAGTACTAGGAAAGACTCAATGGTCTAATGTTGGTCAGCACCATCTTTTGATTCTGAAGACATAAGTGGTCGAATACAATTATCCGACCTGTTGGTACCAATCTATGGTGCAAACTTCATGCCCATCATAGTGAATTAAGGGTGGGCATAGAAATATCCCTTACCTTTGGGGACTATAGAGGCATGGTTAAATGAAGGACGTTCACTTATAACAATTAAATTTAAGAGAGATGTCAAATGACTCAGGATCATTTTATTTAACTGGGTTCAGGATGTATGACCACTTGGAAGTTGTTGTTAGAGGTGAATTGATAAAACAAGTAGTATCAAAGCGAGACTGTACATTCAAATCTCTCAAGCCGATGGTGGGGGTGGTTGATGGCCTAATCACGGTAACTTTTGATTTCAGAGAGTTTGATTAGTTGAGAATTAGTCATCCAACCTGTTGTCATCACTTTTTGGTTCAACCTCCATGTCCATCCACCTCTCAGTAGTATGCCACTATAAAACCTTAGTGAACTATGAGGCACATGATCCTGCCTTGAGGCACATTTGTTATCATTTTCATATTACAATACTACCGTGTATAAATACATAATTGGTCAAAGTTTAACATCATTGACTTGAAAAGTCAAATTTGGCTAAATAAAAAGGAACGGAGGGAGTAAGTTTATTTTTTTAGATATGCATGTAATTATTGTATAATTACCAATTCTAGTTTAAATAGTACTACTTTTTAAATCTGTCTAGTTTTGTAAACCAAAGTAGATCTTTTATGCAAGGATACTATAAATCATAATGATTTCATTATTTTGTGTTAGTATATACTACCTCTGTCCCTTAAAACTTTGCCATCTTTGACTTTTCAAGTCAATGGTGGTAAAGTTTGGACCATGAATTTGATTAGTATAATATTTTGGAAGTTATAAATTTTATACTTTTATGAAAGAACTTTTAACAAAGAACATTTTCATATCAAAGTTGAACATGGTTGACCCAAATATCAAAGATGGCAAAGTTTTAAGGGACGGAGGGAGTATGTATATATGTGCACACAAATTCACGCCATAAAAAGCAGTTTCGATTTATTCAATGCTATATATTGCATTAAACTTCATGTTGGTTTGATCTGGCTTTGTGATGTTTATCCTGTTTAATGTGCATCTATTTAGTTTGTCTGAGTTGAAACAAGTCTAAGGACATGTATACTTCACAGGTTATTAAACAGTGTTTATGAAAGTTTGTGTCGATAAATATATCCTTTACAAACAGTGTCAAATGAACGCATGCTTCCTTCAAAGGATGATGCATTTGTTAGGGCGTGATTTAATTCAAAAATGTCAAAAATAATCATCTATTTTACTTTAGCAAACCATCAGCCTTTTGGGCATCTACATAAGCACCTAACTTTTATTGCGTACACAAGATTTCCCTGTAAATTTTCCTTGTGTTGTCATATTGCCTCTTCATCTTCCACTCATGTCTCTTTATCTGCTCAGTTTTGTCTGAAAATCATTCCCTCTGTCATGCCGGATGTCAAATACGAGGGCACCAGTGCACTGCCAATAAATGAATTGTATTCCAACCCAAGCTTAAACACTATAAAACCATGGACTTTTGTCATAGACACATAGCTTCCACGCAAATTAAAATGTAATATCCCGAGATACCGGCTGCGACATACAGAGTATATAGTTTACAGATGGAAATAAAACATTGATTCATGAAAAAGCAAGGGCATTTTGGTCAATATAGAAAAGCTTAATTAAGAAATGTTGTGGCGGCAGTTTATTGAACACCATTTTAATCGAGGATTGTTCTTATTAATCAACAGTTTATTGAACACCATTTTAATGAGGATTGTTCTTACTAATCAACAGTTTATTGAACACCATTTTCATTTTTTAATAACCTAATTGCATAATTAAGAGCGAAGTAAACGTGTCCTAAGGTTATCTATAAGGATGGTCTCATTTACTTGTTCTTTTTATGTATCAATCTATGAGATTCATGCTCGTTAAATAATTCTTCCCAAGTGATCTTACTTGTACTATCCAATTTTTCATTTAAGAAGATATTAATTGAATCATCACTTTTTAATGAATTTTAATTAGCTTAAACATTAATTAAATTGATTGATAATGTTGACATAAATAGGAATGTAGGGAATATTTGACTGGGGGGATAAAAGGTCAAAGTTCGCATGTGTATGTGGACTATGTGTGCATATAAATATGTACTATTATACTTTGTGCGCATAATATATGTACATAAAGTATAAACAGGTATTCATAGTATAATCCTACTAGCATGTGAGCATGTAGATGGTGCTTTGTGATTTTAAGTAAATTTATATTTATGTATATATTATTAGACAGAAAATGGTACATATGTTACTGCTGAATGTCCATTTGACAAAAATGTTATTTTTTCATATGTACTTTAAGACATTAATGTTGCCAAGGCAGTTATCAGCCGTCAATGACCAAAACAGGTAATTGGCTTATTGCTTGTTGGTAACTTGCTCTAGTGACATTCATGTTCCAAAATTAAAATTTAACATTTTTGTGTGATGTCTATAAGCAAGGAAAAAATCCATTATCAAATGAAGTTACTTAAAGTTTTGCTTTTCTGTACTATATTGGAGGAACTGAAAATGCTGGAAAAAGTGAGAAGCCTGAGAAGAAGAAGAAGGCGAGAAAGAATGTCTACAGAGGAATCCGACAGAGGCCGTGGGGAAAGTGGGCTGCGGAAATCCGTGATCCCCAGAAGGGTGTCAGAGTTTGGCTTGGAACGTTCAACACGGCAGAAGAAGCTGCCAGGGCATATGACGTTGCTGCCATAAGAATCCGCGGGAAGAAGGCCAAGCTCAACTTCCCCACAGAATCCCCCTCTGGTCCTAAACCAAAACAAAGCTGCTACAATGTAGGCGTCAAAGATCCGAGCCCTCAGGAAAGCTCCGGCTCATCCTATATGACGCCTGTGAACATGGACCTGGGCCAAACTACTACCCCGTTGCTGAACTTTGAGGCCGTTCCGTCTTATAAACCACTTGAGGCAGCTGACCTCCAGCAAGAGATTGGTGGGACTGAGTTTAAGGCTCAGATATCAGACTTGGAATCCTTCCTCGAATTAGAACCCGAGTCTGCTGAGTTTGTTGGGGACGGTGTTGAGTTTGATTCATTTGATCCGTTTATGATGGAGGAATTGTTTGGTGCTACTCCACAGGACCAGGTGTTATTCTAGAGCATGTGGGTGGTGATGAGAATTGTGTAAATGCAGGATAATAAAGTGCGCTCGTGCATATGTTTGTATCAGTGTATGTGTAAAATGGATGGTTTCGTCTTTTCTATGATGTGTTCTAATTCAGAATCTAGGACTGCAGATATGTATACCTTTAATGCTTCGGTTCATGCATCTGCTTACTTTTAGTTCGCTTTCTCGTATTTTATTAGTATAAGTAATTACTACATATTTTATGCATTACCTTATATGGAATATGTTAGTACTTGATTTTTTGTGCTAGTTACTATTCCTTGTTTAGACCTGCTGGCAACGTCAATTTTGGTACACCAAAATTGTGACTTGTGATGGTTGGTTGCATTATTGGGGTCCCCGCATGAGAAGAAGAATCGTACACATTTTTTCTTACAAAGATCCCCTCGTGATTTGTCGCTCTATGCGTGTTTAGTGCAGTAATTTTCTCTTAACGTCTGATATCCGGGCCCTACACCTATTCTATATCCCTGTTCTCCGGAGTATAACAGGACGGTGATTTTCCACCGTTTACGCGATAACTTTCCATTGCATTTCAGTAATTTTCTCTTAACGTCTGAATAATTCCTGTTCAGCTCAGGGCATCTCAGATTCTTGGATCCGCCCCTGCATGTGTGTAAGTGTGTTTAAACATTCAACAAATCAAACTTTTTATTTAGAAATAGGATTATTAACTTATTTTATCCCAAACTATCAACAAATTCACAAATATATCATATTCTTTCACTTTTATAAAAAAAGACTCAAATTTCATCTTTTTCAACAATTATGTTTTTTTTTTAAAATTACGCATTTTTATCAATACTAATAAGATATAAAGAATATAACTTTGTAAAGTTAAAACTAGAAAGAAGGGAAAATATGGAATGTAAATATGATTTTCTTTTTAATTTTTACTAATTTATCCATTGAAAGTGTAATTGTGAAAAAAGTTCAAGTTTAAGTCTTTTTATCAAGGGAAAAGGGTCAAATAGGTCTTCGAACTTACTTTAAAAGGTCAAATACGCCCTTATATGGGAGACTCTGTCCGGCCGTCATCATTTGGGGCGGTTCCTGGTGGAATTTTTTGATGATTTTTTTGAGAATCTTATTCATTAAGTCTAGTTTACCCATACCAAATTTCAGCTAACAATTCAATCGCGAAGGCATTCAAATGAATTCTTGAAGATAACTGCGCCTTTTAACTGCGCAGTTATCTTCATGAATTCATTTGAATGCCTTCCCGATTGAAGTTTTAGCTGAAATTTGGTATGAGTAAACTAGACTTAATGAATAAGATTCTAAAAAAAAATCATCAAAAAATTCCACCGGAAACTTCCCCAAATGGCAGCGGTCGGACAAAGTCTTCCATATAAGGGCTCATTTGACCTTTTTATATAAGTTCGAGAACCTATTTGACCATAAAATTCCTTTCATTACCTATTTGGGATGTTCTAAAAAAAAATCTCATTTCCTTTTTGGAATACTTTGTGTGACTGCCATTCATTTATCATATTTTTTTCCTCAACCACACATTTTTACTTTATTTCTACTACATTTTTTAAACTTCAATCCAAATCAAACATGAAAGAATTGTATGGAACTAAGAGAGTATCATTTTTAGAATACAACTCCACTCAAACTCAAATTCAAGCTACAAGTCTACAACATTCCAACGGACATCGTACAGATTGGTTAGATTCTAATGCTCCCCCCGTTGCAATCGCTCAGTCTAGGCGTAATAATAACATAATCCTCTGCTAAAAAAACATAATCCTAGGTACATCCAAATCTTGTTTTGACATTTTTACCTTTAGCAAACAATAATACCACACTAATCGCCAACAATTTATGAAACGCTGAGAATTAAAATGTACAAGCGGCACCCAAATCAATCAACTCATTTCCTCGGCAATTTTTTTTGCTGTTGTTAGCTACAGCCAGTGGCGGAGCCAGAGATTTTTCGAAGGAGGGGCGTACCGAATGTTAAGAATTATTGTGTAATTACTTAAAATATAATAAAACAATAAAAGCGTAATATGTATAATCTAGGTAAATCAATCATATATAGTTTATTACATATTGTTTGACTCGTATCTATAATCTGAGTCAATCAATTATACGAGTTTTAATTTAGTCAACATGTTGAATGATAACTTCATGTTGGAAAAACACGACTCATAATACAAAGACTCAATCTGACAAAATCATTTTCCATTACCCACATTCACTCTTTGTATTTGGGAATATTATACTTTACCTAACTCGATCATGATCACATACACTTCATCAAGCGATATTTTTGTGTCTTCTTTCACAAGAAGGCTCTCACTTTCCTCTCTCAAGGAGACTCTCACTTTCAATCACTCAAGAGCTCTCTTCAAGGTTCTCACAGAAATAGGAAACTTCTCTAAAGCTTCTCTTTGTTCTAAAGGTTTCGCACCTACACTTCCACACGATTTTAGTGAGTTCCACACTTCTCTAAAAAAACTCCACATTATTATTCTAGAACATTCAGTACTTCTCTACACACATATAGAGAATCTTAAACATCTTTGTAAGACTGTAAATTACTCCCTATGTCCCATTTTATAAGATGTCTTTACTATTCACTTGGTCAACACAAATCACTCTTAATCTCTTACTTTATAAATCAAAATTTTATGAAATTTGAATTTTTTTTTGCAGGTTTCGTAGTGGTTTCACTGTAGTTTCTAAATATGTAATATTTATTTTCCAAAGATAATTTGATGCCAGACAGGGATCCGTTTGCTTTATCGTCGATCAAACATTGTAAACCGAAACGTATCTTATAATTCGGGACGGAGGGAGTATAAAATTCTCGGTAATTTCTCCACTAAGGAGGGAATCCAACACAGTCTCGAGAATATTTTGATCTTTTCATTGCAAGAAATGTGACAACATATTCATCAAACTCAATACTTTCTTGCTCAATATAACCACGAAAAGCCAACAGTGTGTAATTAAAGGTCTAAAAAATGCACTTGCATTCAAATGTGTGTGGTATGCTGCAATCAATACTTGTATTCCTAGAGATATGTACGTTTCCTGAAAGACTTTATTATACTATCTTCGTCCCTGAATTTACTTCCATAATAAAGTGGCACACGGATTAAGAAAATGGGAATTGTGTGGTGTAGAGTTGTGCAGAGGCAAGAAAAATGTTGTGAACCACAAATTCTTTGCCAAAAAGGAAAAGTGAAGTTCTTTTTGGGACGGACAAAAAGGGAAGGTTGGAAGTATTTTCAGGGACGGAGGGAGAACACTTAATCTAAAATTAATCTAAACTCGTATTGATTTTGGAAAAGAAGAAGGGATGCATTAAATATACTCAGTATTATTATAAGTAGTAGTACTAACTTTTTTTACCCGAAGTGGGGGCGCTTGCCCCCTCATGCCCCTCCCCAGCTCCTCCACTGGCTACAGCATGTTCTTCTTCAATGTCTTTTATATTTATTTATTATTAGGGACTCATGTTGTAATTATAACATTTATTCTATTATATATATATCTTTCAGGGCTACTATTATGGTTAGGCCTGGTAATTATTTTCACATGGTATCAAGAGCCAGAACTTTTCTACCCTAATTTTTTTTCCGCCTCATCATGTCTTCGGCCGACTCATCAGCCGCAATTAACACTACCGCCGCCGCTTCAACCGGCTCTAGCGGTGCAACCACCAGCGGAATCTTCCCCACCACCGCGCCGGTCTTCTCCACTCTCTCCTCGCTATCTGGTGCGTCATCAATCCTCACCTCCAGTTCTTCGGTGCTTGGATCTCCTCTGCGATTCTCAAGGCCGAGCGCAGGTTTTACCTTGCCGCCGCCGCCGCCTAATTTATTCCCAGTGTCCGACGCAGCACCGTGGGTACCACCGGTCTTCACTTGGTCCCCCACCCAGGCGGCGTCCCAACCGCAACATGTCCCTCTGTTATCTCGGTCTGGCGGCTCTCCCACAGTTCACTCTGGTTCCAGCTTTACGGGTCCCACCTTTGCCGGAGCTCTTGGAATTACACCATCGACACCTTCTGCTTCGATTGGACCGATTGCACCTCGGTCTAGTGCCCTGCCTAATCCAGGTTTTTCCTTATCTGAATTAGTCACAAATATTGGTTTCTCGGCACTCAATATTACGAATATTGTTACTATGAAGCTTGCTGTTGTGGAAGATTACTTGACTTGGCGTAATCAATTTGAGTCGTTCTTGGTGTCCACTGGCTTTTTGGGAATTTTAGATGGTTCCATTCCTGCTCCCTCTCCCTCTATTTTTGATGCTTATCATCACGAGACCGTTAATCCAGATTATTATAATTGGCTAAAACTGGATCAAATTGTGCGTTCTTGGTTGTTTGCTACCTTGTCTCGTGATGTATTGATTGAAGTTCGTGAATTAAAAAATGCATGTGCTATCTGGAATCGTTTGGAATATCATTTTATGTCTGCTAGCCTTGCTTGTTCCATGGAACTGAAACGGCAACTTACACACTCTAAGAAGCGTTCGAATCAGTCCATGGAACATTATCTTCGTGACATTAAGGACATTGCTGATCGTCTTGCTGCCATTAATGCTTCGGTGTCTCGCAGAGAGTTATTTCAGTATATTTTGCTTGGTCTTGGTCGCGATTATGAGTCTCTTATCACGTCCGTGGATCTATTTCCGGATAGTTTTACCTTTGAAAATCTTCGCACCAACCCAATTGAAAAGGAGCGCAGTTTGCAGTATATGAATGCTCAAGAGGAGTTACATCCAGCTCAAGCTTTTGCGGGTCAGGCACAACCGGGAGGACAGCCCCCGCAGGGCGGTGGCCAACTGCCGCATGGTGGAATGCAGCAACCCGCAGGTGGTCAGCAGCAGCACCAGGTGAGGGAAACTCAGTACCTCCTCCGGTTATTTGTCAAATTTGTTATGCCCCAGGTCATCCCGCTTCCACTTGTCCCTCTAGATTTGTTCAACCGGCTGCACCTGCTCTTGTTGCTCAGGCCCCTGATGCTTCTGAGATAGTTTGGTATTCTGATTCAGGTGCCTCAGCGCATGTGACTCCTTACCATCAAACAAACTATAACTGATTTAATGAGCCATTCGCAGTTTCACAGTCTAAATTAGTTCATACTTACACATGCATGGCTTAATCTTTGAGACAAGCATATGACTACTGGCAGGATCAACCAGGTAACATTCCTAAATGATGCCCCGAGCACGAGCGACGAAAGAACACTCAATGCAACAAAGCAGTCATGCGTAGGACTAGCGTGCCACATTGGCACACGGGGAAAGAAGAAGATGAATTCCAATGCCCCGTGCTTATACCAAATCCAAGAGCCATGCACAACTACTCGTATGCCCAGATCGCAACCAAGGGTTGCACCGAGCACAAGTAGGCGTTTGGCGTCCATCCCACGCACACACACACACACACACACACACACACACACACACACACATATATATATATATATATATATATATAGAGGGCAGTTCACATCAGGAACTCCTCAAGAGAAGCCCCGTGCGGACAAGCCCATCAGAGGGTCTTCCCGGTGGAATTTTTTGATGAAATTTTTTGAGCATGTTCCTCATCAAGTCTAGTTCCTCCATATTAAATTTCAGCTCAAAATGCGATCGGGAAGCTAGTCAAATAAATCCTGGAAAACTATGGCTCATTCTGCGCACATATAAAGTGCAGTATGTTTCCAGGATTTATTTGACTGCCTTCCCGATCGAATTTTGATCTGAAATTTGGTATGGACAAACTAGACTTGATGAGGAACGTGCTCAAAAAATTTCATCAAAAAATTCCACCGGGATGACCCTCTGATGGGCTTGTCCGCACGGGGCTTCTCTTCAGGAGCTCCTGATAGGAACGGGACTATATATATATAGGGTGCGGTTCCAGTAAGAATAGTGTCTTAGGAGAGAAATGAGAATAAAATCTAACCTTTAAATATGTGAGATCAAAGGTTCGGATTGAATGTAAATTAGTGTGGTAGATTGGTAAATAGATTGAACTTTGAATGTCAATTATTATGATAGTGATCAACGATTTAATGCGGAGGGCAAAAGTGTAAAGCTCATTAGCATTTAATTGGAAGAATAAGACATCACCGTTCATGTTTCCATATATTTAAAACAACGATGCTTGATGTACCCACTTTTATACCCACCTTATACCCACCATGTTTGTGGAGGTTTTTTTTTGTCTGTGAACCCGTTTCACAGACAATATTTTGTTTGTGCAAAATATTGTCTGTGAATCGGGATTCACGGACAAAAAAATACCTTCACAAACATAGGTGGGTATAAATGTGGGTATAAGAGTGGGTACAAAGATCATAAGAGTGGGTACAAAGATCATTTAAAATCATTGAGTGCAATACTTTCTAAAATTTGAGATTATTACTTTATCATGATGGCTGATATTTCAATTCACGTTTCACATATATATACATTTAAAATATTCACTTGAAATTTGTTAACCGCGTAGGTGCACTTTTATTCGATTCAAATTACACTTTGGAATCCAGAAGTTTGCACATGATCAAAATAAAAGATTTTAAAATTGCTCACGTGCACTTGCCAGGATGCTTACACATATGCTAACGCGCACTTGCAACGATGCACATGTCATGTGCATCTTTTTTATGAATTTGTGCATTAACTTTAACTCAAAAGTATGATGCACATTTGTTGTTAACATATTGCATTACTTGAAAAAAAATTAGGAACGAGGTCATATATTAAATGTGCATCATTAAAGGAATATAGGTGCATTATATTTAAATGCATTGCAATTAACTCAAACATTTTCATAGATGCACTTTTATTTAAACTTTTTGCAACGTTAATTATAGTAATGGTTAAATATACCATATTTCATTCTTCAAAGTTCTTTTTTTTGAAATGGTGTAATTCATTGGTACACTTTATGAAGTTAATTAAGTATATGTGCATCTTATCTTATATAAGTACCCGAAGTTCAACATTGATTTCGATACTTTGCACACTTGAAGTATTTAAAGTGCATATTTAGTTTATTGCAAATTTATTTACATTATTTTATTGTTAAAAGTGCATATGATATGGTTCGTTGCAATTACATTTAGCTCGTAATGCACATTTTCTGTTAAAATGCTACATAATACACGATGCACATGTGTTGTCAAAATGGCACACAAACAACATCACAAGCTTAATGTGAAGTAGTGATGCAATAAACCATTTATTTTGTGAAAACATGATTTTTGAAAATATTATGATTCATATTTATGTGGCACCTATTTATAAAAAACTATGATTAACCTTGTTTTTGTTCATAAAAATTTGGGCACGTTGAAATAATCCGTATACCATTTGTTTTGTAAAATACAAACTCTTACCGAGTAATGTAAAAAAAATGATTTGGCAAGTAATGATTCATAGAAGTGACAATTAAAAAACTAAAAGGTACGGTAACGAAGAAGTCACAAAACACTTTAAAAGGAAAGTGTATTAATAATAGAAATTTGTGGGGAAGCATTAATCAAGGACTATGTATAAAAAGGAAAGGATAATAAAATCACAAATTTAACCCTCCGTATTAGAATAAGAAAACTGAAAAAACATCTTGATCTAATGGTGTAGAATCATTCTCATTTCTCTCTTAAGATGATATTCTCATTTGAACAGAAATCTATATATATATATATATATATATATATATATATATATATATATATATATATATATATATATATATATATATATATATATATATATACACACAAACATACATACACATATAAATAATCTATAACCTTATTTAAGTAAATTATATAGTATGTAGTACGAGGTATATAACAAACACATGCATATACATATAGACATATATAAATGTATATGTGTGTAACAGTGTATTAGTCATGACTAATGAATTAATAAATATTATATCATCATAATAATACGTAATAAATAAAAATACTTATCATAAATGTTATATGAGTGTTAAAAGTGAGAAAATGAGTAAATAGAACACATATGCATATTTAAGTGTGATATACTCTGTATATAATTAATTGTATTCTAATTGATGAGAAATTTGTAACGACATACATGATGATAATATGTTTACTTATATATATTTTTACTTTTCTTATTCAAATTAAAGAATTATTAAAAATTGAATGAATTAACTTTTATCAAGCACGATGTCACGATATTATCTAGCTTACTTCTTTTAGTGATATATACTAGTATATATTTATATTTATCTTTAAAATGGGTTAAAAAATATGCAAATAAGATACTCTCTCCATCCCATTTAAAGGTTCCCGTCCACATTCTCCGGTCAACGTGCATTGTTCTTAATCTTTACTTTATATATATAACTTTTATCAAATGTAATTTTTTATCAGGTATTATAGAACTTTTAATGTAGTTTCTGAATATGTAAATTACTAAATTTTATTCACTAAAAATAATTCTACTAATGACAGGGATCAATGAACTTTATGGTTAGTCAAACACTGTAAACCGTGCGCGTGAGAGCCTTTAAATAGGACGAATGGAGTAAATAAAATCTATATGGGGGCACCTGTGGGCACCCGTGGGGGACACCGAGGTGGGGCGGGGATGGGGCGGGTCTGGGAGTAGCGGGGATGGGGTGGGGATGGGGGAAACTTTTTAGACATGGGGCGGGGGATGGGGGAGCCAACCCCCGCCCCAAACCCGCCCCGTTGCCATCCCTAGTCCTTGTGCCTTATATTTAATTCATTCTGATGTATGGCAATCTCTCGTGGTATCTAATTTTGGTTTTAAATATTATGTTTGTTTTGTCGATGATTTTTCGCGCTTTACTTGGGTTTATCCTATGCGGCGTAAGTTTGAGGTTACTACTCATTTTCATCATTTTAAATTAATGATTGAAAATTTACTTGACCGCAAAATCAAGATTTTTCAGAGTGATGGAGGGGGTGAATTTGACAATTTTAGTATGCGAAAAATTTTCACTGATAATGGAATTATTTTTCAAAAATCTTGTCCTGAGACTCCTCAACAAAATGGCGTTGCTGAGCGTAAGCATCGACATTTACTTGAATTAGCTCGTACTATGATTATTACTACTAGTTTACCGGCTATTTTTTGGGTAGATGCCGTGCTTACTGCTACTTTTATCATTAATCGGATACCCTCTCCTACTCTACATGGTTTGTCTCCTTTTGAAAAACTTTTCCATAGGAAACCTGATTTGTCTGTTTTTCGTGTTTTTTGTTGTGCATGTTTTCCCAATTTTACCGCTTCTTCTGCAAATAAGTTGACTCCGAGGTCTGTTCAATGCATTTTCTTGGGCTATGCCCCTGAATATAAAGGGTACCATTGTTTTGATCCTATGTCTGGTCGTGTCTATATTAGAAGTGTCTAGATTTTTAGAAAATATTTTTCCATATTATGTTCTTGCCAGTTCCACAATGTCCTCTTCTACAACCTCTTCTCATGCCTCCTTAATTTTTTCTCCTAGCCACGACCAGCCTCTTCTTATTGGTACCACATCTGCGGCCTGCACACTTCAAAACAAGACTATCTCTGCTCCATCTTTTCCTTCGGCCAGTCCTCCCCATACCCCGCAGGCACAAAGCAGCTCTGCTGCTTCTGCCTCAGATCACAGCCCAACCTCTGCCATCCATCACCAGACCGCAAACTCCGGCCCCTCTTCATCCTGCAGCTCACCCGACAGCCCCCCAGGCTCTCCACAGTCAGTCTCTTCTTCGAATGAGCCTACTTCCACAGTCACTAAGAGTCCTTCTCCCGTTGTGAATATTCGTCCTATGCAAGTCCAGAATTTTTAAACCCAAAACAATTTTTACCTTAAGCACAGTTGTTCACACACCTGATCCCACATATTTTTCTGTTGCAAATAAACATCTTGAGTGGAGAGCTGCTATGGCAGAAGAATTTAATGCCCTTATCTCTAATCATACTTGGGATTTAATTCCATTTGATGCCAATAAGAATGTGGTTAGGTCTAAATGGATTTATAAGACTAAATATCTGGCTGATGGGTCTGTTGATAATTATAAAGCTCGCTTGGTTGCACAGGGGTTTAATCAGCAGGCAGGTATTGATTTTACTGAGACTTTTAGCCCTGTTGTTAAACCTACTACTATTCGGCTTGTTCTTACATTAGCAGTGTCGTTTGGTTGGCCCATACGTCAACTAGACGTCAAAAATGTTTTTCTTCATGGTCATCTCACGAAGGAGGTATATATGTGTCAGCCACCAGGTTTCGTTCATCCCCAGTTCCCTCATCATTTGTGTCGACTTCGTAAAGCTATTTATGGTCTTAAACAGGCACCTCGTGCCCGGTTTCATCGTTTTAGTAGCTTTCTCCTTTCTCATGGTTTTGGGTGCAGCCGGTCAAATAATTCTTTATTTATTTTTCGACGTCAGTCTGATATTATTTATCTTCTTCTGTCTGTTGATGATATTATAGTTACACGCAATTCCCCAAATCTAGTCTCTCATTTTTTATCCCTTCTTGCTAAATGTTTTGCCATGAAGGATTTGGGGGATTTGCATTTTTTTGGGCATTCATGCGACTCGGACTCCTTCTGGGGTTATTTCTTTCCCAGCATAAGTATATATTTGATCTACTTCTTCGTTTTCACTTCCATACGTTGAAATCTATCCGCTCTCCTCTTCCGAGTCGCACCAAACTCTCCTTTACTGATGGAGAGCTTCTTGCAGATGCCACGGAGTACAAGAGTATGGTAGGTGCATTACAGTATTTAACTTTGACTAGACCAAATATTACTTTTGTTGTACACTTGGTTTCTCAATTTATGCATGCCCTCTCTGTACTTCACATATGTTGGTTGTTAAGCGTATTTTCAGGTATCTACAGGGCACTTCCACGCATGGACTTCTCCTCCAGGCTTCTCGTGTTCGTCCAGCTCTTATCTCTTATTCAGACGCCGACTGGGCTGGCTGCCCTGACACTGGTCGTTCTACCTCAGGCTATGTTATTTTCCTAGGGCCTAATCTGATTTCTTGGCGTTCCAAGAAGCAGCCTACTGTTTCCAGATTTTCCACTGAGGCTGAATATCGAGCCGTTGCATGCATTTACTGTTCAAGATACTATTCATGTTCGCTCGGTGTTATTTGAGTTGGGCTTTCCCGTTTGTGACCCGACTTTGCTTTACTGTGACAATGTTTCAGCATCATATCTCTCAGTTAATCCGATTCCTCATGCTCGCAGTAAGCATATTAATATAGACTATCATTTTGTTCGTGAACGAGTGGCTCATGGAGATCTGCGTGTGAAATATGTTCCTACTCAGGCTCAGCAGGCAGATATTTTTACTAAGTGTTTATCTCCTCAACGGTTTGTTCTTCTTCGTGACAATCTGCGCATTGTTTCCCCTGCACAGCTTGAGGGGGTGCAATAGAGTATATTTTATATTTATTTATTATTAGGGACTCCTATTGTAATTATGACATTTATTCTACTCCGTATTATATATATATATATATATATATATATATATATATATATATATATATATATATATATATGTCAGGGCTACTATTATGGTTAAGCCTGGTAATTATTTTCACCACTATTTTTATAATTTTGCACCATTATGGTAAGTAAACTTTAGTGTGGTAATCAGCACTATTTTTATAATTTTGTCGCAAAGCTTAGAACTTATTAAAACTTGTTGTCTATTAAAATTGAGATATAATAATAGTTCCAATTAAACGAATCCATCTCCTTATGATTTGGGTTAATCCTCCAGCACTTCGATTCATACTTCGTATATGTGAATTAGAAAGAGTATCACAATTGAATTGAGTAATTCCTCGAAAAAAATGAATTAATTAATATCTTCATTTTACTTTTTTGGGGTCGACGCTCCCGGTCGAGATCGAAATGTATGAAGATTTTTTTTAACCATAAAATGTACTACCTCCGTCCCATTTTATGTGTCATCTTTGATTTTGGCACAATTTTTAATAAAGTGGTTGAAAAGGTAAAAGTTGTGGTTGAGATTTGAGTATAATAAAGTGAAATATTGTGAAATACATACTCCGTATTTCTTTTCAAAAGGGAAAATGTGACACTTATTTTGGGACAATTCAAAAAGGAAAGTAAGACATGTAAAATGGGACGGAGGGAGTATGAACTATGAAGTTATTAGATCATGAGTAAGGTGGTACACGAAGGGTGATGCAACCCGTTGAGTACACGAAGGGTCAGTGACGGATCTACAAATTAAATCTAAAATACTAGGGAATTACCCTAAATAGGGAATTTCGAAATAAAATTATTACGGAGTATATTTTTTTAAAGAAATACTACCTTCATCCTGCTAAGAAGTTCTCACTTTCGTTTTTTAGCAGTTCCAAAAAGAAGTTCTCCTTTCCTTAAATAGCAAGTCCACTTTTGTCAAAACAGTGCATAACAGTGTCAAACGGTGCCAAACAGTGTCAAAACAGTTACATTATCCCAAAAATCCATAACCTTATCCCAAAAATAAAGGTGGAGAAAGCATACGGCGTATGCATTTGGAGCACCAATATTCAAGGGAAGAGTAAGAGTGTGCAAATCAAAGTTATTCACTCTTTAATTTGATCACTTTCTTTCTACTCGACTACTCCCCATATCTCCAAAAGTCTAAGTGAAGAAGGGATTGAGCCATAACATTGAGAGGCCGAAAATCCAAAGTTTTATGTTTTTTAACTAGTAACGGCGTATGCACTTTAAATGCATTTTTATGTAATAATACCAATAATATATTTATCCTAATTAACTTATCTAATATCGTTATATACTAGTAGTAGCTTATATAAAAAAAAATGGTAGTTAACTAGCTTGAAAAATACTGCACATGTTATTAGGATGAAAGTGTTGTTAGATATATAGTCAATCTAAATTTATCATATGTAAATTCAATTTGACACACATTCAACAAAATGTAGATAAAATGTTGTTTCGATAGTTAAGATAGCCTACAAAAGTAGGATAAAAATGTTATTTAAGTAGTAAGCAAATCATAAAAAACATAAGTAGCATGCTATTCTAGATAATTATTGGAAAATAAAAAACAAATTATTGAAAAGCATAATATTTAAAAGAAAAAAGTAACATATTAGTTTCATTTATTATTAATCTCGAATTGATCTATGACCTCTGTAATACTTCGTATTTAGCAAGATGCATGATTCTTTATTTCTATGTGACTATGTAACTAGTGCAAATGTCATATCTTTATATACAAAAAGAAAATGAAGAATAATTTGCATAATAAAAATTGATGATTGGCTTCGCGTGTATGTCGTATTTTTATAGAGAGATCAGATGCTATTAAAAATTAAGATATAATGAATCACTATCAAAAGATGAAAACTATCTTAATTACAAATTTAGAACAATTGTGAAAGTTCTTTGAAATAAAAGTAAACAGATTTTTGTAATTCCAAAATATGACTGAGTTTCTTTTTGAAATATATATATACGGAGTATATATATACTAATATAAAAGGGGAAACCAAGAGAATGATTCTTTTAAGGTTATGGTAGATTCAATCTACCATAACCTTATCCCAAAAATCCATAACCTTATCCCAAAAATAAAGGTGGAGAAAGCATACGGCGTATGCATTTGGAGCACCAATATTCAAGGGAAGAGTAATCTAATAAGGTTTTATTTTGGCACATCCAAAAAAGGAAAGTGTGAGGTTCTTTTAGAAACGGAGGGAGTATATATATATTTCGAAAAGAAACTCAGTCATATTTTGGAATTACAAAAATCTGTTTACTTTTATTTCAAAGAACTTTCACAAATGCATTTGGAGCACCAATATTCATCTACTAGATTCTATGGTACCAATAAGGTATCATACCTTTGTGCACATGAACCAATGAGAATGTAGCAGTTGAATTATTTAAATCTAAATTAAAAATGATAAAGTGATGTGGTCCAATCGATCAAATGAATGATAGGTACAGTACCCCATATTTTAGAAAGGTACCGGAGTTATCACCTAAGGTTATTGGGGGCAAACATTTGATTTACTTATTCATATACATTTTTCATTATGTATTCTATGAGGTAAGTGGCTCTTTATTGGGGGCACCTTTCCCCTCCTTCCAATGTAAGGGTTGGTTTGCAACTGCTTTTAAAAAAGCACTTCTCAGCTTTTGACTTTAAAAAAGCACTTATTTTCCCAAACACTACAACTTTTATTTTTCTCGGCTTCTGCGTCAAAAGTGCTTTTACTTTTTCTATTACACAAAAAGCACTTATTTTACCAAACACTATCCACTTTTACTTTTCAAAATCACTTTTTTCTCAAACACTATTGATGCATGCAATAATTAAGTAAAATGAGTTTAAATGATTAAAATGAACTTATAAATTAAGAATAAAATAAAAACAATCTAAAACCACACAACCATCACTAAATTTGATATAGGAGGATCATAGTGTGATGACCAAAAAGAAAATGTGTAAAACCTAGCAGGTAGATGTAGTACTAAATTTCAAATTTAATGTATTGATTGGAAAGAAATAAAAATAACGGTTTTTTGAAATTTGTGACACATGACATACTACCTTAAATGTATGCTTAAATAATTTTATGTTAATACTCATGTATACACAATATATGTATTTTGAGTTTTGCACATGGTACATGGAAAGGTTGGAGGACGTTAAAGTAATCTTTGTGAAGGGCATACGGCAAAGTGAAGAGGGTAGGGAAGGGGTAGAAACCATGATCTAGGATTCTAGGGAGGTAAAAAGTCAACATTAATGGAGCAATAGATGAGACATGAGGTTTGTGCATGAGGTTAGGTGGCAAGAGATGATGAAGGTAATTCTAGTATTTGTAAGGTGTTAGAGACTGTATAACCAAGTTCATTCCGTTGATCCAACTCGACGAGGAGTTGGACGGGGGCGGTAGCCCCCTCCCGAAATTTTTTGGGTCCTTTTGTATATGGGCCGCGAGTTTTGTACTGGTTGGGCCGCGCGTCCGGCCTATTAGTGCTGGGGTTAGGTTTTACTCTCTATAAATACAAGCTCTCTCTTGTAATCATTGATTCAAAAAATAATAGCAATATCCTGACTTGTAAGCTCTCCTAGACGTAGTCCTTTGTGGCGAACTGGGTTACCAAATTTCGTGTGTTCTTCCTTATTGTTCTTCGTGTTGTGTGAGTTAAATCGTAATAGTATTCTACAAAAGGCAAAAGCAAACTTAGGTGGGGAGTCTGGTCCTCGTAGTAGATGGACGTCAGAGCAGCTATTACAGGTGCAATTCAGGAAGGGTGGTAATAGACATTTAAGGACACGTTTACTTCACCAGTTACTAAACGGTGCTTATTAAGACTAGCGTTGATAAGCGACACATAAAATAAGCAGTGTTGTAAGATCATGTTTACTTCAAAGGATTTAGAATCATATCAATTCAGGACCCGAAAGATAGACGAATTATCAATCCAGAACCTGAAAGATGAAATGTATCGGTATAGGACCCGAATGATGGAAAACTATTAATCTAGGACTCAAATGATTGAAAACTATCAATTTAGGACCTAAGTTTTCATAAATTTATTATTATTTTTTATTTTAAAAAATTTAAATAATATTTAGTTTTGTTAAACTAATAAACTTTTTTGAAGAAAAAATCATCAAAACCTATGAAATGTTGGGTCCTAGATTGATAGTTTTCCATCATTTGGGTCTTATATTGATACATTTCATCTTTCAGGTCCCAGATTGATAATTCGTCTATCTTTCGGGTCCTGAATTGATAAAATTCCAGATTTAAATCACCGTTTAACATTATAATGTCCAAAATAACTCTATACATATATAGACACACAAACATTCATTAAGACAAGTATATAATATAATATGTGGGATCACCTCGTACGTATACCTATTGTACCGCGTAACCCCAACGTAATTCCACACCCTTGACCCCTACCCCTACCCCGACCCTGCCCTCTACCCCTACTCCCCTACAACCAACCCTCATACCCCTAACACCTACCCTACTCGTAGGGGTGGGGTCGGGGTGGGGTCAAGGTAAGGGCAAATGATATGAGGTAAAGGGTAGTCAGGGTAGGGTAAGGGGTACATTGGGGGGTCGAGGTGGGGGAAGGTGGTAAGGGGTAAAAGGTTAGGGCCCGGGTAAGGAAGGGGTAACGGGTGGGGGTAGGGTGATAAGTCCATATTTAGACACGCATTTGATGTGTGGTGGGATCGGATTTTGTTGGTTTTCTTAGCTTTAAGGCGTTGCAAGTCTCAATTTTAGCTCAAATTATATTTACCGGGCGTTGGTTCGAGTTTTGTGTCGTTTGGAGTCAAAATCGAGGAATTTGAGCCCGACATCGGCGTTTGAGAAGCAATCGGGACGATTTGGGAAGCATTCGAGATTGATTTGAGAGCTTTGGAGGTCACTGTGAGGCTCACGGTTAAGATTTGAAGGCAAAAGAGCTCTACGATTGGCTATGAGATCAAAA